AGTGGAGCTATGGAAGTCAAGATGTTAAAAAAAAATTATTATGAGTGTATTCTTTACAGATTTAACTGCTACGTTTAACAGCCCTCTTTTCATGCGAAATCCCCAAAAATGGGTTCGTACTTGGCCGCGGGGGACGTGGGGAGTATCGCAAAAGTAGGCTCGCTAGGCATCAAACAGTACAAAAGTGTCATTGCTAAGTTTGATGGAACGGACGGAGCTGCAGAAGACCCGGATGTAAATAGGACTACAAAATAATAAAAAAATTTATTAGCAATATAGCAAGAATAGCAAGAATAAATAAATAAATAAATAAATATCAGTTAATAGCATGAACTCGTAAGTACGTAGATGACTAAATAATACGTCTCAAACAGATTCGTGCGTATTGTCCTTTCCAAACCCTAAACAAACATCTGCTTGCATGGATAAAAGCACCTGAAATCAGAATTTACACCTTTCCACCACCTCTGCGTAGGAGCGTAAGGCAGCGTTCAGACTTGTAGCGCTACAACTGTAGCGCTACGATCGTCGCGCTACGATCGTCGCGCTACAGCGTCGCGCTACGATCGTCGCGCTACAGCTGTCGCGCTACAATCGTCGCGCTACAGTCGTCGCGCTACAATCGTCGCGCTACAGTTGTAGCGCTACAATCGTCGCGCTACGATCGTCGCGCTACAGCTGTATCCAGCTTCCTTTTATATTTTTTTCTTTCATTCAACCCTCTTTTGCCATATTTATCTGATGCTGAGCTCTTTTCTACTTTACCGCATTTTTTACCACATTTTAATATAGTTTTTGATACAGAGCACTATGATAATTTCAGAAAGTAGGTCATTCATAGAATAATATCGTAGAATATCAAATAATGTTCACAATTAAACGACGTCAGGCTGGTCACGCCTGTGTGTTGGCTTGCAACCTGTCCGTGGATGCCAAAAACAATTTCGTCATCAGGGTCAACGTGAGGCACCACTGCAAAACCTCAAGCAAAGCCATCAAACATCAGAAGCAACTCTGAAACAAAAATAGAATAATAATAATAAAACAGAAGAGAAAAAATAAAGTCTAAAACGAAATAAACCAATTATCACAGTGCTCTGTATCAAAAACTATATTAAAATGTGGTAAAAAATGCGGTAAAGTAGAAAAGAGCTCAGCATCAGATAAATATGGCAAAAGAGGGTTGAATGAAAGAAAAAAATATAAAAGGAAGCTGGATACAGCTGTAGCGCGACGATCGTAGCGCGACGATCGTAGCGCTACAGTTGTAGCGCTACAAGTCTGAACGCTGCCTAATGCACGACGCACACTCGGACCAAATCGATCAGTGATAGCCGAGCTCCTTCCACTTTGAAGGGAAATATGTGTTTTGAAGGCACACTGAAGTTTCCGAAGGTGTATCCTCACAATGGCACAGAAGGAGTCGATTTTTCGGGTGGGTCAGAGGGTAGCGCGTCTGTGACCCATCTAAAATCTCCTGAACTAGCGGGTCTTCAGGAAAACTGTAAAGCTTATTGGAAAGAGAAAAGATAGGGCGGTTTCAAGACGATTTTAATCCTGATGAAATTGCGTTCGAAATAAGTAATCCTCGTGTGAAGCATAAAAACCCGCTTGCCATTTACCCCTAGCCGATCCGAAACCCATCCGAAATATTTCACGAACGGGGAAACATTCAGATTGCAACTGGGTAGAAAACGCAACAGTAGGAACATTTCCGTTGCATGCTGCTAACCATTCATCAAAAGCCGCGCCCCTCAAAGAGATATAACCCCCCCCCCTCCCGCGAAAAGACCCCAGGACGTTGGCAGGCCCAACAAATACGCTCCAATGATGTTTCTCCAGTGAAAGTGGTCGCGATCGATAATAGCCAAGTATAGAACGATATACTGCCGCCTGGTTATCCATTTTTTTCATTTGGCTCCGCATTTTTTTGTATTTTTCATGTTTCGCTTTGTTGTGTCGTGCATGTTTTCATGATTTCCCCGTCACCATTCATTGAATGCACATCTGGGGCCTGACACGCTGACCTTGGGGCTATTTTTTTCACCAATTTAGCTTATCAATGATCACCATTAGTCGCTGTTTCGATTGTGTTCCTTGTTACAAGTTGCATGTCATACATGGTTTTATTCTGAATCCTAAGACAAAATTGTAGGTAATGCGAGGCTGTTGTTCAGCCTCATATTGCATGAGGCTGAAACAGCCTATTATTGCCTGGATTTAGAGCAGAGTGCGCCTTTCGAGAAATCCAGATTCCATTTCAGGAAGCCATTTGTGGTGAACATGCATCTGGTTGTCAGTTAGAGCAGGAGGGGGGGGGGTCGTAACTGGACCCTCTTCGAGGGCGGGAGGGAGGGATCGTACTCACACCGCCAATTCGCCATGCTGTACCCTGTCCCTGCTTGCTCTCATGGCCGACCTTCGTCTATTTTTCTGCCAATGCTATTTAGAGGAGCGGTCCGCGATGACCTATGAAAATGCAAGAGGTTATGTGGGAAGGTAGTGCGGTCCGGAGTGGACAACCCTGTGCCAGTTTCGCGGCGGAAAGTTGTACGGTAAAGGAATTAAGGCGCAAAGTTGCTTCAGTGGTACATCCCTTTTTCCAGTGACTCCGCCTCCAGACTCCGCCTCCAAAGTCGGCCTTAGCCAAAAGTAATGCTCCCGGCAAGTATCATGGAGTGGATGCATTCAGTGTCTCTTGTAGAGTCATAGGGTTCATTACTGGGAATCAGCCGACGGGAATTGTCCCAGCGCGCGGTCTTTTCGGTCTTTTACCTCTACAGTTGTTTGAGGCTAGAGGAGGTCTGACGAATGCGTTTCCAACGTTCCCTTTGGCATTTTCTCTTCATAGATGGTTCACTTGGCAAATTTTCTTCCACATTTCTGCAAAATCAACTAGGCTTTTTATCGCGGACCAGCCTTTATGATGACTCGTTCGAACAGTTTGAGGACTACAGACAGCAGGCAGATTGGGCGATTTGCCAAGGTTATGCAGTTCTTCTTCCTTGTACAGCAACACAATCCTGCTGTACAGGGAAGAAGAACTGCATAACCTGAGGTGGTTACGCATTCCAACTACTAGCGCTTGAATAGTCGAGGCAGTTTTGAAGCTGTTACTATTTAACTGCTGTTTAACGACGCAGTGCGCGATCCGAAAAGTGTCACAAAGTGCTGAGTTGTGGGCAAAAGTCAGACCACGAAGCGGGATTCATGCTCGAATTTTCTGCTTCCCTGCAGTAACGTAACAGGTAATGCAACCACGCAGAAGCGGCGATGCGGGACCACACCCTTGGGCGTCGAGCCACTGTTCTGGAATTAATACCGACTGTCTTGCTAGTAATGTCATATATGGCTTAGAAAGTAACGAATGCGGAATACAGCATGTAGGAATGACAGCTAGAAAATTTGAAGATAGAATCAGAGCATTTATCAGATTGGCAACTAAGTAATTGCGGGTTTTTTAGAATGACAATTTTTTTCATGAAACGAAAAAATTTATTCTGTAATGTATTGCCCATTTTTATCAATGACCTTTTGCCATCTTTCAGGCAGCATCATAATCCCACGTTCATAAAACTTCTGGTTTTTATTAGCAAAAAACTGAATCAGGTGCGATTTGACATCATCATCATTATTGAAATTTTTACCATTCAAGGAGTTTTGTAAAGAGCGAAACAAAAAGTAATCTGATGGTGCAAGGTCAGGACTATATGGTGGATGTGGCAAAACATCCCAACCAAGCTCCAATAATTTTTGCCGAGTGGCCAAAGATGTGTGTGGCCTTGCATTATCATGATGGAATACCACACCTTTTCGATTTGTCAATTCGGGCCGCTTTTCTTCAACAGCATTGTTTAATTTCGTTAGTTGTTCAATGTAGACATCAGAATTGATCGTTCGGTTGGGTGGTAAGATTTCAAATAGACAATTCCTTTGTAATCCCACCAAACTGATAACAAAACCTTCTTTTGATGAATATCAGCTTTTGATGTTGTTTGAGCTGGTTCACCTGGCTTGCTCCACGATTCCCGCTTGATATTGTTGTAAACAACCCATTTTTTTTTTCATCGCCAGTTATCAGTCGTTTTAAAATGGATCATTTTCGTTACGTTTCTTAAGCAAATCGCAGTTGTTAATGCGTTGCGTTAAATGCGTTTCTTTCAGTTCATGAGGAACCCATGTATCAAGTTTTTGAACATAGCCAAGCTGTTTTAAGTGATTTTCAATGCATGTATGTGATACATGGAGCTTCTCTGCGATCTCACGTGTTGTACTGTGACGATCCGAATCGATTATTGCTTTGATAAGGTCGTCATCAACTTCAACTGGACGACCAGAGCGTTCTTCTTGAGTGAAAAATCACCAGAACGAAATTTGGCAAACCAATTTTGACACTGCCGTTCTTTTAAGGCTTCGTCACCATAAACAGCACATAACTTTTTGTGAGCTTGCGATGCGTTTTTCCCTTTGCGGAAATAAAAAAGTAAAATATGACGAAAATGTTCCTTTTGATGTTCCATTTTTCAACGAACGCCAAACAAAAACTATGCAACCAATCAAAAAAATTTCTGATAGCTGAATTGCCAACTGTCTAATAACAAAATAAGTTTTACACTTGCTCTACGTCAGCAAACCTAAAAATTCAACTGAAACCATCTATGAGTGAAATCCGCAATTACTTAGTTGCCAACCTGATATATAATATACATTACACACTCCACTCTATGACCATTGCAATGAATGCAGTAAAGGGATTACGGCATATATATATTGGATTCTTCGGGTGCAGGGGATAAGGCTATCTTGGCCGAAAAAGAGTTATTTCGGACTAAACTTTTGATGACCCCCTTCCCCATGTGGTTCAAATGATAATATCAAACGGTTTGATAATACCACAAACAACGATAAACATGCTATACTCAAAATTGATCCACCCTTTTTTCGTTAAAAATAGGTAAAGCTAGAAGTAATGGAGGGGAAACAACAAAAAAGTAAAGGAAAAAATTATGGGTTACCATCAATTAACAGACGGTATAATTGAAATGAATACCTTCAACCTATTGATTACTACAGTTTACTCAAAAGTATTCGGAAAAAAAGAAATTAAAATATTTCAGATTATAATTAGACGTTGACTTTCTGAAATAATTAAAGAAAAAACTAGATTGTTGGTTTTTTGCCTGCCAGCACATTGTTATTACAATGTAGAAGATTAAAAAAATCGATCAAGAAATATCATAACACCAGTCGGATCCTCCTTCCGGGTGTGAAGTGGGTCCCTGTGAGAAGTTTTCCATGAGAGGGAGGGCCAGTCGGATCGGCCGGCTTCGCCGGGCGAATGGTCGAAAAAAATTGTTTTGAGAATTACAGCACTTTACCGTTTCACTTCTTGTATATACCCCCCTAGAAGGCAGTCATCAAAATTTTCTATGCGGCACTCCCCTTAGTGATGAGGAATCGCAGAATAAACTATTGCCGATGGTACCAACCATTTGGTATACTCCCTACGGTTATCCCTCACTAACTTCATCTGCCAAACCATTGCTCAGTTTCACCTTACTCCCCATTTCGTGGGGTTTTTCGGATGCGTTTCGAGGGTTTTCGTCCTCGGCACCGTTCACTTCGGCGAACGCTCCGCCCATCACGGGTGTGCTTCATTGATTCGTCCGCCAACTGATTGCCTATCGTTTGCCACTTCTCCCACTCTCCGAGCTCTTTTGGAACCGAACTACGAATTTTGAAATTTTCGTAGCAAGCACCGCCCACCTATAGAACGCCCCGCCCAGAATGGGTTGTCTCACTCATTTCGTCCGCCAACTGATTGCCTATCGTTTGCCACTTTTTCCACTCTCGGGGCTCTTTTGGAACCGAACTACGAATTTTTGAAATATGTAGCTCACAACTGTGCGCACGCCCCGCCCACAGTGGGCGGGGCTTAGCTTAGTTCATGTGTGTTCCGTACATCTTGGCCCATGCCCTACCCAACCCACCCTTGACCCGCCCCCTCCAACTGGCTCTTCAGGTGATTCCGAATTTCCGGACAGACAGACAGACAGACAGACAGACAGACAGACAGACAGAGACGACAGACAGACAGACAGACAGACAGACAGACAGACATTGCCGTTTATATAGTAGGATAGGATAATAGTCACATACGAAAGTAGAGTATTCTATAATATACCCTTCAGTAGGATATTTAATTCCAATATAATAAAGAAGATTTTGAATTGCGAGATAAGACACAGAGTATATACCTATTAGAGTCATTTACAGATATCAACGAGCATTCTCTACGAAAATTCATAGTTACAACAGTCGTCTAAAAGACTTGATAAAAAACCGTTGATAAAAAGACTGATAACTTGATAACGAAGAGTTGAATAAGATCGTTAGTAGGAAATGTATTTGCGAAAGTAATGGAGACAATAAGTTCATTAATCGAGAATATGGACACATAGTAACAGGAAGTCTGGACATCATCAAGGAAGAAAGTTCAAGGAGTATCCTAGCTAAAGGAGCTAAAACTGAGACTGGAATAACAAGAGCAGAAGTAAGAGAAGTTTATGGTAAGTTAGTGGAAGAATGCTTGAAGTTTCTTCAAATATAGATACAAAGCGAGTGCAGGAAAATAAACCTAATAAGAAGGTACTATTAATACCAGAAAAAAGTAAAACCTGCATTATCCTACAATAGCATTTGCAATATAACAGCCACATTGCTTGTCATAGTGCCAGACCCCGAGTAACTGTATTGTAGGGCAGTGCTGGGACACAAACAATACTGAGACCTGGGTTCAATCACCCCATTCGCCCAACATATAGGTGGGGGGCCAAAAAAAGACATTTCGACCGAGTCACATATCAGCAAAGTTTTCGCAGCCCAGACAGAGGACGTGGATACGAGTACCAGGGCGGAAGATACCCAAGATGTTCCTCTATAAGCAGGAGCTGGCTCTCGCCCATCACCTTCATGTACACCAAAATATGAAGTCATCTCCAGTCGCAGCCTGACTGGAGAAGACCTTTCTCACCTCCAAACAGCTGCGAAACTTCTAGTATGGAGTCACCCATGGATAGCTACCTGGAGACCAGTACTCTCGATCTGGAAGACCTCCAACATCGAGCAGCTCCGACAACGTCGCTACGGTCCAGGATATCATCTTCACCTCAGTCGCCAAGGCGCCAGTTGATGGTGGGGACCGGACGTACCTGGAATGGAGAGACCGATATTTTCTTCGTGGGCCCCGGACTGAAGGTGAGCGCTGGCGGTTACATCGAGCAACTCGAGAAGAATATCCTCTCCACATGTCGCCCGTACCTTCTTGGAAACTTTGTACTGCTACAGGATTGGGTGACACCACATGGAATCAAAGGGCGTTGGGAAAACTCTTGCCTACTTGGAATGGAAGGGCGTTGAGTACCTGAAGAAGGTGGAATATCTAAGCAGGTCACCTGACCTAAACCCCTCAATTACCTGGTTCGGGCGGAGTTCAATAGGGTGGTCTACAGTGGCGGAGAAATCAACGATCTCGCTGAACTCAGGCACCCACTCACGGTCGCGTGGCAGAATCTCTCGATGGCGCTCCTCCAGAAGGCTGTGGCGGAGTATCATGATAGTATTTATATGCTCTTTAATATGGTGGTAGAAATGTCCGATAAGAATTTAATAAAGTGTAACTTATAGCGCCTCGAAAGTCAAGGAAGAAAAAATTTTTTTTGGCCCCCTATAAGCCGTTCGATTCAACTGTTCTGGTCAGTCGAGAGTACTCTCCGACGGCAAACGCTACAATGTTTTGTCATTCGCCGAAATTGGCATCAACAGCAATTTACTCGCACTTGTTGAAAAATCGAAGGTACCAGAGGTCCAAACGCTTTCGGGGCCCTGGGAGCGGGTCATTGGTGAAGGAGGGATCTACTTAACTCAAGCCAAAATATTACTTTTCTATCTGTTTTTCTCTTCGTTTTATATGAATAAGATCTGCGGCACTTTTGAATGGGATGACCTAATATTTAACGGAGTACTCATTAACGCGCTTGACGACAACGCGCGTTTTTACTTTTCGGCCTCGTGGGACACGCGCGCTTTCTCGAACGCGACAGGCGCGGTACGCATAGAATTCACGCCGTCCCACGAGGCGCCTTTTTTGGAGGTTCGACCAGAAAACCTGGTTTAAGGAGCAATTATAAGTGAACTAACCAGTCACTCTGAAAAAACCTAAGCAGGCCAGCTCTGGTTGCACCCAGAAATTCTTCTGTATCCAATGTTTCCGTAAAAAACGCAACTCGCGCCTTTTAAAGGATACAGTGATTCGTTTCGATCGTCATCATATCCCTTTTATCATTATTTATATTGTATTTGTCTATATTTGTTAGTAAAGAGTTGAAGAGCAAACCAATCCAAGTTGAGGATGATCTTCTCCCAAAAAGTCTTTGCTAAACTATTGTGTACTGAAACTATTCCGTGGACCACGCGTTGTACGAGTATACCGAGGACTGAATTATAGAATGAATATGAGAAACTGAACAAAAAACCATGCACTGGTGAAAGATATGGATTTTTTGACCGTGATTCGTATACAATTCGCGCGGTCCCACGTGGCCTACAAAGCGCGCATTAAATGCGTATCACGCAACGTGTTAAACAACAGCTTTTGCATGTTTGGATCCCATATTTTCTAGCAGACCAAGGGAGCTCCCCAAGGAGGTAATTTCAGTCCTTTGTTGGCGGATCTCATTTTGTCTATGGTATATTATGCTAAATGTAAAAAACGGACTAACAAGGACTTATTTTTACCTTGCAGACCTTCTGGTCATACAAACCTACTGAACATATATAGGTGATCGATTGAGCAAAGTGTACCATCCTTACAGTGAGCGTTGAAAAATACTCATTTCAGTGGTGGGTAAAGTCATTATTTAGACCTCATGATAGAAATAAAAAATGGCCATCGCGACATTATGACTACAGGGCTTCAAAGCCACGGATACGTAATGAATTCATATTGTCTAACATAATAAGGTGTATTTTGAAGAAAAATTCATCTCTTATAAGTACGGAATAAACAACTTTGATAGAATTCGTCGTTCAACAACGAATGCAACAAAATCTTGGGTTCACTAGTAGGTAGTCAGAAAGGACAACTATGTTTGTCCCATTTCACTTTGGTCTAGGTTTTTTCGTTTATGCAGTTAACAAATAGTTAATATCCCTAACTTGCCTGCTGAATTTCTCTACTGAGCATTATATGCAGACCGATATCATGCCTCTTGGGCCCATTAACTGCACATCTATCAGGTTATCCCGTAAAAGTGCCGGCATATAGAGGAATGGCAGAAAAGCAAAGGGGATAGGGAAGCGGGCTACTATACCATTTGGAGGCTAGTACCTTTAGCTGTGTATCTGTGAAATTTGGCGAACCTACCCACAGAAGAAGTTCTCGAGAAATTGAAAAGAAGCCCGAGTGGTGAAAATCAGCGCCGATTTTCAAAGTGCGCTGCTCAAATTTGACCTGCGCCGG